TATTGGGTCCTGAATAAATAATAAAGCAAAACTAGCAAACACAAGACCTGTTTGGTTCCCATCTTTCTATCGGGTCGGGATGAGCTTCCCCAACCCTTCATCTGAGGATGCTGCTCCCCCTTCCTCTGGGAAAATGTGCTACCTCATACCATGCAGACTCGTGGGGTCTCCCTCCCTGACAAAGGGGCAATGTACAGGAAACTTGCACAACCAGATTTACCCACATCAGTCAGACTTCACCAGAAACCCGAATCAGGGACAGAGCAACACCCACCCAGATACAAGACAATCCTTCTGCATTCTTTCCCAAGGTAGCACTCCGGCGTATTCTTGTATTCCTGGCTGAGATCCATGGAATTTCTCAAATTCCCACCTTTCACTGGGCACGGTCATTCGGCTTCTCTTTCCATCCTGTAAAGAACTGCATTGCTTCCTAGGCCTGCCCTACCAAATTACCACAGATTTAGTGGCTTACAATTCATTATCTGACAAGTCTGTAGGTCAGAATTTAACCAAAGGGCCAATGACATGGATCTCAATGGGTTAAAACCAAGGTGTCCACAGGGCTGAATTCCCTTCTGGAAGCTCTATGGTTCCCTCTCCCCGTGGCTAGGATGGCAGTGGCGGGCAGCGCCTGGGCAGCTTGGGTAACCATGCTTCGCCCATCTGTAAAGCCAGCAACAGGTTTGGTCGTTCTCACATCCTAACACTCAAAACCTACCTTCTGCCTCCCTTTTCCATTTTTTTTTAGGAGACTTGTCATTACATTGGGCCCAGCTGGATAATTTAAGATTCTGTCCCTATTTTAAGATCAGCTGATTAGCATCCTCAACTTCACCTTCCACCTCAATCTCCTTTGCCATGTGAGGTGACATATTCACAGGTTCCAGGGATGGATGGATGAAGAAAATGTGATATATGTACACACACACACACACACACACACACACACACACACACACACACGAATATCAGTCACAAAAGGGAATTCTGCCATTTATGACAACATGGATGGATCTTGATGGCATTACACTAAATGAAATAAGTCAGAAAGAACAAGACAAATACCATCTGATTTCACTGATATATGAAACCCAAAGAAAAAAAGAAAAAAGAAAAAAAAAAACACCACCTGAACTCATTGATATAGAGAAAGATCGGCAGCCCCCAGAGGCAGGGGTGGGGGACGCATGGTGAAACGGGTGAAGGGGGTTAAAAGGTACAAACTTCCAGTTACGAAATAAATAAGCCCTCAGGATGTAACGTACAGCACCATGACTATAGTTAATGATACTGTATATTTGAGTAAATCTTAAAAGTTCTCATCACAAGGAAACAAAATTTGTAACTGTGTGTGGTGATGGATGTTACTGAGACTTATGGAGGCTATCACTTCACAATATATACATATATTGAATCCTTATGTTGTACACCTGAAACTAATATAATGTTATGTGTCAATTACATCTCAATAAAAATTTTTTTTCAGTTATCAGTAACACAAGAGGACACTCAGCATATAAAAGATCTGAATAATATTACAACCAACTTAATCTAATTAATATTATTTAAAAACTTCACACAACTACAGCAGAAAAAAACATTCTTTTTAAGTGTGTACTTACCAATATAAACCACAAAACAAGGCTTGATAAACAGAATTATCCAAATCATACAGGGTATGTCCTTTGACCCTAATAGAAGTAAAGTAGAAACTAATATTCAGTATTTGGAAAATTCTCATATATTTGGATATTAAACAATACACTCTGAGTAAAAGTGAGTAAGCATTTTGAATTGATTAAAAAAGAGAGGGACGCCTGGGTGGCTCAGTCATTAAGCATCTGCCTTCGGCTCAGGTCATGGTCCCAGGGTCCTGCTTGGCAGGAAGCCTGCTTCTCCCTCTCCCACTCCCCCTGCTTGTGTTCCTTCTCTCTGTGTGTCTCTCTCTGTCAAATAAATAAATAAAATCTTAAAAAAAAGAGAGAGAGAACACATCATATCAGAAAGTGTGGAATAAAGCCAAATTAGCATTCTGTAATAAATTTATAGTATCTATATGCTAATATTGTCAAAGAAGAACAAATTCAATCTAAAACAAGGGAGGCAGGAGATTGGGGCGCCTGGGGCTCAGTCGGTTAAGCCTTTGCCTTCGGCTCAGATCATGATCCCAGGGTCCTGGGATCGAGCCTCACATCAGGCTCCCTGCTCAGTGCGGAGCCTGCTTCTCCCTCTCTCTCTAACCCCCACTTGTGTTCTCTCATGCTCTCTCTCTCATGCTCTATCTCAAATAAATAAAATCTTAAAAAAAGAAAGGCAGAAGATTAATAAAGATAATAGAAATTAATTAAACAGAAAATCAATAGGGGGGAAAGATGAAATCAAAAGTTGGTTCTTAGGGAACATGAATAAAATGCACAAACCCCTTGCAGGTTGATTTGAGAGAGAGAGAGAGGAAGGAAGGAAGGAAGGAAGAATTGTACACTAAATTTTAATAAAATTTCAATGTAAGGTATATCTCAATAATTCTGACTTAAAACAAATGTTATCTCTGTTCCTGTCTTAGGGTTTTGCTGCTCCCTTTATCTTTTTTTTTTTAAGATTTTATTTGTTTATTTGACAGAGAGAGAGACAGCGAGAGAGGGAACACAAGCAAGGAGAGTGGGAGAGGGAGAAGCAGGCTTCCCGCCGAGCAGGCAGCCCGATGTGGGGCTCGATCCCAGGACCCCGCGGTCATGACCTGAGCCGAAGGCAGACGCTTAACGACTGAGCCAGCCAGGCGCCCCACTGCTCCCTTTATCTAACTTCTAATAACTGTGTCTCCTTTTTATTAAGGAGGAGTGACATGATGGAATTCATTTATAAGAATCTGCTGTATTTCTCCACCAGAACATGGCCTTCCTGAGTAACCACAGCCTCTGCCCCCATAACTTCCCTGTACCTTTGAGGCCTGGCACAATGACAGGGGCAGATAAAAACCTGGAGGAGGTCCGGTCATGCAGAAAACCTACCTCATCCTCTCTCACAGTAACTGTGAGAAAGCAATGTGTACTGATCCTGGGCAGCAGAAACAGAATCCTGTCTGGCCCTGCTCCGGATACATTCATAGAATCTTAATTTCTTCCTGGGTTCATTCAAAGTCAGCAGCAACCTCATAATCCTAGAGTCAAACCTAAGCCCTAAGAATTGGTCCAAATAGCCAGAGAAAAAACAAACCTTGCGTGAGCATTTAGATGTCACAAACCAGAGTTATTTTTTGTTTAAGATTTTATTTATTTATTTGAGTGAGAGAGAGCAGGAGAGCAGGAGGAGGGGCAGAGGAAGAAGCAGGCTCCCCACTGAGCAGGGAGCCCGACACGGGGCTCCATCTCAGGACCCCGGGATTATGACCTGAGCAGAAGGCAGATGCTTAACCGACTGAGCCACCCAGGCACCCCCATAAACCAGAGTTCTTAACGGGAGAAGGTTTTGCCCCTGGCACATACCTGGCAATGTCTTTAGTTCTGACCACTCGAAAGGTGCTACTCCCATCTAATAGCTAGGGCCAGGGATGATACTAAACACCCTACAGTGGACAGGAATGACCTTGAAGACAGAAAATTATCTGTCGCCAAATGTCCACAGTGCTGTGGTTAAAAAACTGCTCTAGGCTTTGACACAGTAAGAACCAGAAGAACCAGAAGTGGATAAATATCCTCCCTCAGGAGGATATTTGCGGCCTCCCTAGCAGAGCCCAGATCACCTGTGAACAGGTATGAGGCACCCCCCCCCACTCCCACACCTATTCTCCTCAATGTTGTGTCTTCAATTCATAGACATGCAGCGCATGAAAGTAAGTTTTGGACACTCGGCATAATTATTAACATTTTTTATTCTTACATACTGTTTCTCTCTTGTTTTTGCCTCTCCGTCTTTTCCTATGCCTGACAAATTCCTGGCCCAGTTAGAATCAGGTCTGATTCTCCAAACGAATCTGATGAATTCATTCCCAGGTCCATACTTAGCCTTTGTATATTGCCATGGAACTTTGTTTCCCTAAAAGTCTTAAATCTGTCAAAGAAATTATAAACGGATTTACAGCAATCGCATAAATCATCTGCATGTCACGGACAATTATGACTTTTCGCAATGTAGACCGTTGCGGCCACGGTGGCACCCCTGTTCCCCACTGCCACTCTGTTCCTGCGTCTCTCTTCTGCGGGCGACGCTGCGTGGGACGGGGACTGGGCAAACTACACTTCCCAGACTCCTTCGCTGACCTGCTTCCAGTTAGGTCACAACAAACCTTAGGGGCTGGAATTTGGAGTTTGCAGAAGAGGGGAAGCGGCTTCCTTCCTCACTTTTGCTCCTGTCACCACTGCCACAGCGAGCCGCGGCGTCCCCCTTCCTAGGGCACCGCTAGAACCAATGTCCTCATGCCCTCATAGAGACACCGGCGACTAGTTCCTGCCCCTCTTGCTTGGGTCTGAGGATTGACACAGGAAAAAAAATCTCTCCTCAGAGCTCCAGGGGTGCCAACACCAATCAGAGGCTGAGAACCAGGGGACCCCCTCTGTAGGCTCCTGGTCTCTTCCATTTCAATGTCCCCCTGCGGGGTGGCACCTGCTGCCTGCAATTATCTCTGGGTAACCTCAGCACTCCCTTGAGCCCTTCATTATCTGTGTAACAAAACGGGTTTTAAATTTGTTCAAACTACTAGTACATCCTGGTCAACTGAGTCCTGGCTGATTTAACCCCTACCGTCATGGCTGCTACTCGATAATCCTACAAATCTGGAAGCCAGACAGGTCTAGTTACCTAACAGATAAAGCGACAAAGCCTAATGAAGACTATACTTCATCCCTCACAACTGATAGATCAAGTAGGTGAAAGATACATTAAGACTATAGAGGATCTAAAACAATAATTTGTAAAGTAAAATCTAGAAGACATATGTTCAACTCGAAGCATTATAAATGGGAGATATGATTCAATTTCTCTTTTCTACAGAACATAAAGAAGAACTGACTCAAGGTCCTCAATCATTCTAAGTGCAAACAACAACGACAGGTAAATTTGCTGATCACGCAATGTAACTGGAATTTAATAGCAAAATGAAAACTAAAGTAAGAAAGCATAAAATAATTCAAAAATGTTAATAACCAGAAAGGAAACGATAATGAAGATCCTCCTTATACTGGTTTACCTAGCAGATAAGCTAACATTCCTACATAGTATATAGGATTATTATGAGAAATATGTAAAATACAAAATTTTATTCAACTAAATGGAATAATTCTGACAATGACTGTGTTCCCTAGTGTGTCCCCAGAAACATAATTTTCATGTTTCCCACTCCTCCACTAACAAAAGATCATCACTAAAATCCACTTAGATATCTATGTAAATACCCACCAAGGGTTTTAGTATAATAGCAATCACTTAAAATGTCAATTTCCTCATTACTTAACATAACACACTGGTAGGTCCATATATATATATAACAGTACACAACAAAATCTTACAGGAATTATGTTTCCTTCTACACTGCAATCCATATGTTTTTTGGGGTATAAATAAAGAATAAAATAGTAAAGTAAAGGTACAGAATGAATGAAAATAACATTTAGCAAAATAAAAAAAGCAAAACAATATTTTTAAATAGGCAGTGGTATGGTTGATTGAGTGAGGTTTGGTGGCGGGAGGAGGGGATGAGACAGTGATCATCGTTGGCTTGGGGCAGTGGGAGTTGAGTGAACGTGAAATGGCCATTTTAGGAGTGAAACAGAAAATGCGTGAGATTCACCTCGGCTCAAATGCAAAGATATGGAGGACAGCCTTTTCTTTCTGGCACTCATAGCTCAGAATCAGATGGCCGTAAACTCTGATCTCTCTAAAGTTCTGGTTGAAGCAAAGAGAGGAAACAAAGCAAAAGCTCTAGGTGGATATTTGTTTGCTTTCTTTCACTGTGATTCTAATAGCTCCTGATGATGTGGGATGGAATTTGGAACTGAACATTGTAATTGTTTGTGCTCACTTCCTCATTATGGTTTTTACCAATAGCGATGATTTTTTTTTTTCCAACAGGATCTACAATGTATCTCACAGCTTTATCAGGGAGTATTCACTGCTCTTCTTTCAACAATGAACATAAAGTTGAAAAAGAAATATCAAGTGTTTGTTTATCACAGGGCATACTCTTGAACCAATGATTTTTTCATGATATTTCTTTATTCTTTCTCTCTCTCTCTCTCTCCCATCTCTCTCTCTTTCTCACACACACATACAAACTCAGACGCATAATTGTATGCAGGGGATATAGGGTCATTTGTATGGTGATTCTACACCTCTTTAGTACATGGCTGGAAAAGAACTGAAACACAACTGTGACACCTGTGGCGTCCTCACATCTGAACTCATGTCCTAGGGAAACAGTTCAGCTAGAGGACAGATGTGTCCTTTTATTATTAGCTATCTATTGTTGCATTACATATTACCCCAAACTTAGCAACCTAAAATAATAAGCATTTACTATCTGGGGCACCTGGGTGGCTCAGTTGGTTAAGCATCTGCCTTCAGCTCAGGTCATGATCCCAGGGTCCTGGGATCAAGCCCCACATCGGGCTCCCTGCTCAGCAGAGAGCCTGCTTCTCCCTCTCCCACTCCCCCTGCTTGTGACCTTTCTCTCTTTTTCTCTCTCACTCAAACAAATAATCTTTAAAAAAAAAATAAGCATTTACTACCTAAACAATTTGTGTGGTGAAGTTCAGGTGAGTGCCTCTGGCTGGAGGGCTCTGATGACGTTGCTGTCCAGCTTTTGGCCTGGATTAGAGGTTCATCTGAAGGCTGGACTGTGGGTGGAGGGGAGGAATCTGCATCTGAGCTCACCCACGTCATTGTTGATAGGCCTCAGGTCTTCATTAGCTAATTGCTAGTCATCAGTCCCTTTCCATAAGGCAGCTCAGAACACGGCAGCTGGCTTTACTCAGAGTAACTGAATAAGCCAGTGAAAGGGTTAGAGAGAGTGCCCAAGATGGAAAAAAATGGTCTTTTTATAACCCAATCTAGGAAGTAATATCCCATCCACCTGCCGTAGCCTATTCACAAGTCCAGCCTCCTCTAAGGAAAGGAGTTGCATGCAGGCACGAACACAAGGAATCAGGGATCACTGGGGACCATCACAGGCTGATAATCATCTGGGGACCATCACAGAAGCTGATAATCATCTGGGAACCATCACAGAAGCTGATATCATATCCAACAGAGGAGATTTTCATGCAGAGAGTGCGATTTAGGTTAAAACAAATCATAATGATTATTCTGCCAAGATAGCAAAGGACATCTATACTGGGGAAAATTACCCAAAGTCTTCAGCTATGACTGGATTTCAGTAGTGGGATTCCAAGCAATTTAATTTTTTCATACTTTTCGGTGTTTTCTAGATTGTCTATAATGCCAGGTTTTAATTATAAACCTTTAAAGAAATAATCAAAATCTATTTAAAAGGCCACAAAATCTAAAAAAAAAGGTTGAAATATGCTTTCAACATAACAATGTTGCTATAAAGATAAAATACCAAACTCTTCTGAAGCATGCTCTATATCATCTTTGTTATGAAGTCTTTCCTGACATTCTCATTATTCCTCCCCACTCCCACCCTTTGGTAGAAATAACCAGGAAAATAACCACTATCTCTTCTGGGTTGTGTCCCTTCCATAGCCTATTGCCTGCACCCACTTAACTTTCCATCTCCCACTATCGGATTGCAATCAATCTGGGGTAGCCCTGGTTTTTGCTGCGCTGCCTGACGCACAATAGATACATACCTTATGAGCAATGATTGTACACGCGTGTGCACATGGAAAATAGTAGAGAACACAGCTGACAACAAGGATGTCTTGAGTCTGTGGGAAATGGACAGCATTACCATCCATGCTTTCTCATCCATGAGGTACCACCACCTTTGTGTACTTTGGCCCTGGAGATTTCCTGTGGGAGACTGGGTTATTCCTTTTTTGTTAGGCTCTACTAACCAAGAACAAACCACAGGCTCAGGGAGCATTATAAATAGCCATGGACCTGCCATGCTCAGAAACCCCAGGCTCCAAACATGTCGATGCCTCTTTTCTTCATTGGCCATTCAGCCATGAGACTCCATGTGCTTCTCTTCATGCTCCTCTTTTGGACCCTCTTATCTCCAGGTAAGGTGCTGGCTGACTGCCAGGGTCTGCCATCTGGAAGTCTATCTGGCAGATCAGACAAGACCCTGGATTTATAAGACCTGGTATCAACAGCTTCACTAGGATTATAATGGGGTAAAATAGGAAACAGGCCATTCCTTTGCCATTATACCCACTGCCTGATGTGGTCTCATTCTGCTTTATCCTTACTTTGTGCCTTGGGATGCCCTGGGAAGGCATGACAATTGGCTTGTAGACAGGCATATCTAAAAGGATTGGATTGAAGTGGCATCTACAATTGTATCTACTCACCAGGGCAGAGGAAGAGATGGATGGAACCTCAGCAACAGTAGCTAATGCTAAAGGCATGTCTTGGGGAATCTGTCATAGAAATGTTTGGCTCCTGAAGGAATTTAGAGATCAGTATTGAGTAACGATACACAGCTGTCATTATGGGAGAGGTATGTCCACAGTTGTAAAAGTAGGTTGATCATATGCCTTTTTTTTTTTTGTCCCAAATAGACACTTTGGGAAAGTAAGTAAATGGAGCGCTATTATAACCGTATCATGACAGCAGGCATAAGTTAGAACTGATCCAGCCAAACTGGCCACAGGGTCACTCTGTATAAATGGCATAGACATGGAATAGGGTTTCAGAAAGAGGGTTACAGTCCCCAGGGAAAGGTTACTGAGAAGACCAAGTGCTGCTCCGTATTCTAGGAAGAGATTCTTATGACAAATAACAATCACACAGAATAGGTACCAGGGCATAAATATAGTCTTGAATAATGGAGCAAGTAGGAGGAACACGTGCTTTGGAATACTCATGTGTGTGCTACGTAGGAAGAAAATGGCTGAGCTGGGAAATGGAGACAATAACACAAAAGGTGATGCTCTTCAATCATAAATCCTTAGTGCTAAGATGGTCATTTTTTGCTTCATTTGACAGTGGAACACCTCAAAATAATCATCCATATTTTTCACCTCTGGTTCTTCTCCTTGAATCCTTGATTTATGCTATAAAAGCCCACACTCAGACCTTAAAAATTTGTCTGAAGTGTTTCCCTCTTGTGTTTCCCTCTTGGCTCCAGCAGTAGCTGATTCCTGCTGCTATTCAGCCACACATACAAGTACCTGTGGGTCCCCTGCCTTTTATTTATTTTTTTTTATTTTTTCCACATTTATTGAGATGTCACTGACATATAACATTGCCTAAGCTTAAGGTGAACAATGTGATGATTTGATATATTATGAAACATTTACCACACACCATCAGAAAAGTTAACACGTCCTTTACCTCACCTAATTACCATTTTGTTGTTGTTATGGTGAGAACTTTATGTCTCTGCTCTCCTAACAACTTTCAAGGACACAAGACAGAATTGCTAACTAGAGCCACCATGTTGTACATCACCTCTGCAGAACTTACTCATCTTGTAATTTAAAGTTTGTACACTTTGACCAACATTTCCCCACCCCTCAGCCCCTGGCAGCCACCATTCCATTTTCTGTTTTTATGAGTTTGATATTAGTAGACTCTACAGATGAGTGAGATTGTACAATGTTTGTCCTTCTCTAACTAATTTCACACAGCATAATGCCATCAAAGTCCATCCCTGTGGTCACGAACGGCAGGATTTCTTTTTCGTACGGCTGAATTCTATCCCATTGTTATGTACATCACAGTTTTCTCATCCATCATCTGTTGATGGACTCAGATTGTTTCCATGTCTTGGCTATTGTAACTAAAGCTGCAGTGCACATGAGAGTGCAGATATCTCTTCGAGAGAGTGAGTTCACCTCCTTCAGATACATACTCAAAAGTGGGATTGCTGGGTCAGATGGTAGTTCCATTTTTAATTATTTGAGGGATCTCCATATTGTTTTCCACAATGGCTGCACCAATTTACATTCCCACCAACAGCGCACCAGAGTTCCCCTTTCTCCGCATCCTTGCAGGACTTACTATCTCTTGTCTTTGTGATGATAGCCATTCTGACGGGTGTGAGGCGCTGTCTCACTGTGATTTTGATTTGCATGTCTCTGATGATGAGTGATGCTGAGCACGTTTTCATGTACTTGCTGGCTATTTGGTAGTCTACTCTGGGAAGATGCCTAGTCAAGTCCTCTGTCCGTATTTTAATTGGATTTTTTGAGGCTTTTTTGCTTTTGAGTTGTATGGCTTCCTTATATATTTTGGAAATTAACCCCTTATCAAATATATTTTCTCACATTCCATAGGCTGCCTTTGCATCTTGTGGATTACTTCTTTAGCTGTGCAGGAGCTTTTCGGTTTGTTAAAGTCCCACTCATTTTTGCTTTTGTGGCTTGTGCTTTTGGTGTCATTCAAATAATCACTGCCAAGACCAATGTCAAGGCAATTTTTTCTTATTCTAGGACTTTTGTAGCTTTAGGTCTTACACTGAGGTCTTTAATCCATTTTGAGTTAATTGTATATCATATATATATATATATATGTATCCTGTCATCTGCAAACATAGACAATTTTATTTCTTCATTTCCAATTTGGACACCTTTCATTTTTTTTTTCTTGCCTGATTGCTCTAGCTAGGACTTCCAGTACTATGTTGAATAGGAGTAGTGACAGTGGAAACACTTGCTTTTTTTCTGATCTAGAGGGAAAGCCTTCAAACTCCTCCACTGAGAATGATGTTAGCTGTGGGTCTGTCATATTTGGCCTTTATTACGTTCAGGTATGTTCCTTTTACACCCACTTTATTGAGTGTTTTACATGAAAGGATATTGAATTTTGTCAAATGTTTTTGCTTCACTTATTGAGATAATCAGATGATTTTTATCTTTCATTCTATTAATGAGGTGTATCACATTTATTGATTTGCATATGTTGAACCATCCTTGCATCCCAGGGAAAAGCCATCCTTGATCATGGTATATGATCCTATTAACATACTATTAAATTCAGTTTGCAAGTATTTGGTTAAGAATTTTTGTATCTGTCTTCATCCAGAATATCAGGCTGTAGTTTTATTTTTCTTGTATTGTCCTCACCGGGCTTTGTTATCAGGACAATGCTGACCTTTTTCAAATGAGTTTGGGAGTGTTCCTTCTTCTTCGATAGTTCAAATGCAGGTCCATAAGCAGCTGTGGGGGTCTTGGCTGTTGGTGTGCACGTCCATGGCTGGAGGATTTCACCATCAGCAATGGAAGCCAAACACAGGCATCAGACCAGAGGTGTGCAAGTGCATAGCCCCAAAGTGCATGCATGGCATGGGAGTCAGTTGTGGGGGTCTCCACTGATGTCTTGCAATCAAGAAGCTGCAGAGGCCTAGGCTGGATGCTGGTGTAGGTCCCCAGCTCTGGCAGGGGGCAGGGCAGGGGAAGGAGTGGGAAGGGACTCAGGTGGCTGGCATCAGTGAAGGAGAACCCCTGTAGGGTGAAAACTGGGGGAAATCTGCAGGGTTGATGGGCGGCTGGGCTGGCCATGGGTTTCTTCTACAGCAAAAGTTGCTGGGGTCCTGGCAGAGCAGGTCACTGGGGACAGCAGTCACCAGCTGCCTGTGGCTGTTACAGTAGCCCCTGCTTTTCTCCTCTGTCCCTAGCCACCTCCACACATTGCTGCTTTGCCGGTCTGGAGAGGGGTGGGCACGAAATTGAAATGGGTCCTTCAGGTGGTGCCCCAAAGGCTGGGGAGGCTGGTTGCTCACCCCCCTCCCCTTCCCTGGTAGGGGTCTCTTTCTAGATGGGGGCTTCCCTATTGGCGCTGAGCAGTGCTGACCTGGAGGATGGGGTGGCACAGGCAAGCTGAAGCTGTTCTATCCCTTTCTGTGCAGTTATTCTCAGGCTTTTTGTCTCAATGTGTTGCTCTGATGTTTCTGAAGAGGACAGCAGCGCTCTTCCAGGGTGGTTTTTGCTCATGGATAGCTGTCTAATTGCTGATCTTCGTCGGGGGAAGGAGGCTGAGGTCTCCCACACCACCATCCCGGTGATGTCAGCCCCTCCCTTTCAGTAGGGCCCTATCACTTTGGATTTTAGTTAATTCAATTTCTTTGAGAAAGCAGCTCTGTGCTGGGCTTTTAAGTGAATTATCCAGCTTGCTCTCTTTGTCAGAAAAAGAACAATTTCTTTTGTAACTTTTACATCCTAAATAGAAGTTCACTTCTATTCTTTTTCAAACCTCATCTGTTGGAGAGCATTATTATTACTATCATCAATTTACGGGTATTTACTAGAATTCCACTTTGACTCTGAGGCCACCTTCTTTCTGCGTTAAATTCTTTCTTCATGGTGTATGTCCTCTAGGATTTCCTTGGCTATAGAATTCTTGGTGGTAAATCATTTCAGTCTTTCTCTCTCAATTTGTAAATGTTATCCTTATTCTGGAAAGAAAGCATTACTGAGTGTCCGATTCTACACCAGCGGTAATTTTCTCTCACAGGCCATTCTTTTTTTGGCTTTCACTTTGCTGCCATAGCTTAATATTTCTTTTTTTATTATTTTTATTTTTAAAGTTATTATTATTTTTAAATTAGTATTTCAAGTTTTTGTCCTTTTTTTCCCCAATGTTTTTATGATCTAGCATTTGTTTTGTTCTATAACTTAATGTGAATTTCTTTTATATTGTCTGTTAGGAATGCTTTAAATATCTTGATTCTGTGGATTTGTATTTTTCCATCGTTTCAGGAGAATCTCTTTAAGTACTGCCTCCTCCTGTTCCTCTCTTGTCCCAGAATAAATGTGAGACCTTGTGTCTTAGTGCTACGTTCTGGGTAAATAATTTAGATTGTATCACTTCATTCACTAATTTTGTCTAATGATTGGTCATTAATATCTTAGTTATTTTTTTCAAATAATTTTTTCGTGTCTTGAAGTCTCTATTTTTCAAACCTGCCCACTTATTCTATCATCTATATTCTTTCCTTCTTGTTTGTACAGCTACGTGATAATAGGTTTAATTTCTTTAAATAATTTGATACATAGATGTTTAATTATTTGTCACATTGGCAATGCCACTACCTTTAGTCCTTGAGGGTCCAAATATGTTGTTTATTTCATTAACTTTTGCTCATGGTGCCTTATCTTCCTGATGATTTGTCACAGTGAAGTCATGGCTTATCCCTAGTCCACCAGTTTCTTATGGGTCTAAACTGGGAATGTGTCTCTGTGACCATCCAAAGCTACCACTGTGAAACCTCCTCCATGTTTATTTCAGTACCCTACCCCAGCCAGCCAACCAATCCAGAGGGCCCGCTGCTTAATCTTCAGTTCACAGACTTGTCCTTGAAGAGTGAGTATTCTAGAGAACTGCCCTACTACCTTCAAGAACAGCAATATTTCAGAGATATTCTCTATGATCCATTTATTCTACAAAGGCAGTCACTTGAGAGTATCTAACTTGCAACTGTGGCCAAAAGCCTAAATCTTTCTTTCAATCTCATCATATTTGTTTTGTATCTTCCAGGAATTTCTGTTTCTGATGTACTGATGGTACCCTGTGGTTTGGGACACTCCTACAGACTCTTTCAAAATGCTACCTACATAATTCAAATGGCATTTGAGGAGGAATAGAAGAGGAAAAGCAGTAGGCTCAAGTCATCACTGCCATTTCTTCTTATGGCTCATAGCATTGTCCAAAAATTTCAGGACTATATTAATGTAGTGTCAACAATGGACATTCTTCTTTCCCTTCTCATTTTGATGGGATTAAGGCTAGTATTTCACTATGAAATGCTATATGGATTTTTGTGTTCAGATGAGTTTTAACTTGGTTAAGGTAATATTCTTCTCTTCCTATTTTTAAAACAACATTTATCAGAAATCATTGATCACATTGATTTTCTTTTCAATTCTCTCCTTCTGAATACATATTTAACCTCCTTGATCAACTGGATATATTGCATATGTCATTCTCCTAACAGCAAAGAGGAACATTGTCACCAAATTTTAATCTAAAAATATTGTCACCATTCTTAGCTAGGAATGGCTTCAGAGGCAAGTATAAATAAAAGTAACTCTTATTTGATAGGATCTGTCCATTACTGAGTGGACCATCAGTTACGTCAGGGGTGGGAAATCCTTCACACGACGCCAACTCTCGATACAGAGGTGAGACCGATTAAAGCTTAACTGTCCTCCTTCCACCTCTTTCTCAGGTGGCTTATCTCCTGGGCAGTCATTATTTTAAGGACTGCAGTGCCACGTCATCAGCTCTGCCTTTAGAGAGTTCTCTATTAAATTAACTTGGCTATAGTGTAAGTCACCTAGAGGAAATAATGGTCTGGATATGATAACAAATTTTCAGTTTTTTAGATACAATTGAAAGGATTGTTCAGAACATCCACAAATTTATTTTTTTCTTCTGATACACCCAGTGACTAAGGTACATTGAGTTAGGTAAATCCTACTTAGATTCAGAGAGAAAAAAAAAACAAAAACGTCTGCTTGTTTCTGAGCTGGCTGAAACATGACGCAATGGATTTCTGTGTCTGTAGAATAGACTAGTATCCACACGATCTGTCTTCCTGAAACTTCACCCAACCCCTCAGCCACACGGATAGGAGGACAAAAGGAGGTGGGAAAGGTAAAAACATGAACATTTTATTTTATTTATCTGAGGGAGAGAGTGAGCCAGAACGAGTGGGGAGCATGGCAGAGGGAGAGGGAGAAGCGGACTCCCCCCGCTGAGCGGGGAGCCCGATGCGGGACTCGATCCCGGGACCCCAGGATCACGACCTGAGCCGAAGGCAGTCGCCTAACTGACTGAGCCATGCAGGTGCCACAAAACTGAACGCTGTGAAAGAAGAATGAGCATGTGGATTGTTAAGGGAGCTGAAGTGAGAGGACTGCAGCCGCAGGTACGGAAACCTGCAAGCTCACTGCAGCCTGCGAGTAGCGCGGGATCTCCATTCTGTCTTACCTCGTGCCGTGTCTCATCAAACCTTTTTTTCCGTAATGCTCAACCTCCACAGGTCTTTCTGTTCTTCCAATAAACTAAGCAAGGGACTGTGTTCTTGCTATTCCCCATGCCTAGGGGACCCTCACAGGAATATTTGCTTGTCTTTTTCATGCCCATCGTTCAGACCTCAGTTCAAATGCTCCATCCTCAGAAGGCCTCTCTCTGTCCCTTCTATTAACTGCATCCTCCAGACTATATCTGGTCGATGACTTATTATTTTGTTCTAAACACCACTTCCTGAAATTATCTTAGCCACCTATTTTTGTATGGTCGGATTTGATTCCCTGAAGATACGTCCTGGGAGAATAAAAATCATGTCTTCCATTTTTCACTGTTCTATTGTCAGTGCAAAGAAAAATGTCTGCCGAATAGAAGATACTCCGCAAATATTTGCTGAAGATCCACATAAAGGAGTAAAACAATGAAGAAATTGGTATATTTAGAACAAGATGTGAAAGGAAAATGAAATGGGGTCAATTGTGAGGTTTTAAAATGGAGCTGGGAGGCCATTTAGGAGGTGGGCCTTATGCACGTCCTCACTCGTGGAACCGTGAACTTTTGAACCGGGCCAAACTGCAACTATTCCAAGGACTCAGCTCAAACACCGGCAACTTGCTACAGTAAGAGATTTTGCTTAGTGAGATCCTTAGCAACCAACTAGATTCAGCCAAAATTAGCTTCCTGCCGCCAACAACAATCAAAAATTCTTTGTGAACAATGTATACAATGCATTCCCTTTTCGCTTTAAAAACCTCTGACTTTTGCTCCCTAGTGGGACGCTATCTGGGCTGTTTCCCAAATCCCTATACCCCAGATTGTGATTCTTTGATCCCACATAAGCACTCTTGCTTAATGATGGCCTCCTCACAATTTTATGTGGACACGTATATTGTTCATCCCCTTGTCGTTCCACTGTGACATTTACCGAAGTTCTTTTTGGAGCATAAATTGGTAATGTCAGGAACTTGCAAGAAAAGGAGGGATGGGCTTGTTAACACATGGGCTGTTGGGTAAAAAAAGGACAGTGAACGTGATGGAACAATTGAATAGATCTTTTGTCCAGCTTCTTTTCTCCACACAGAAATGCTCATACCAGAACCCTTCTATTCTCACACTTAACAGTGTTTCAGGTCTTCCGTTCCACTCATGAACTAATTATTTCACTGCCTCTCTTCTTCTGCAGTAAGAAGTGGTTTGGCTTCTGGTGAAAACCATTGTTTAAATCTGTCTGGCGTTTGCAGAAGAGACATCTGTAAATTAACAGAGGACCAGATTGGTGCCTGCAAAAGAAGATGGAGATGCTGTAGACCGTGGTGGATTCTTATACCAATTCCAACACCACTCATCTATTCAGATTATCAAGCACCCCTTAAGCATAAATTAAAATGAAACTAGGAAAAGCATCAAAAGGAAAGTTCTTTGCATCTGAAGTCACTGGAATATACATACTGAACACTTCCAGCTTTATTACCAATTCCTATTACCCCTTGTCAATAAAAATAAATAAATATGGATTTCAAATCTCCAGATACTACTTCTTTGTGACTCATCTTTAGATTCGATCAATCTCTTTAAAAGTGAAAAAGCCCATTCATGTAACAAAAATATTTTCCGAATTTGTCAGAAAAAGACCAAAAGAATAACAAAAAATTTGCAAATGAAGGTACAGTTATACAAAACATAGTTAAATAGACACATGGTACAAAGGAAATGCAAAATAGAGGGGAGACACAGAAAACCTCAGGGGTGGGAAGAGCTGTAGGTTGGGAAAAGGGAGAAAATGGGAATAGGGCAGGAGGAAATCATTTGGGATAATACATAATGAATTTCACTGTATGGCAGATAACTGGAAGGAGATGAAAACAAGAAAGGACAGAGAATGAGAGCTTGCAGGTCAACAGAAATGTATATTACATAATCTAAAAGGTAAAACCTCAACCAACAGAGAGATTTTTACATTTCCCTCCTACAAAGAAACACTGGGATCATTTGGAGAGTCTTAATCTTTTATTCCGCGAGACAAATAACTCCCCTTCATAGGACCTAAACATTTTACTGTGAAAATACAGTGGCGTCTTTCAAGAGCAAGCCATCAATATCCCTCTCTAAATAGACGTTCTGCTGCTGTATAACTCCTGACTGTAAGTCCCTCCTCTCTCCAGGGTCATGAGGTCTCAGTTTCCTGTCCCGAGTGTGGGGACACGTCGACTCAACAACATACCTCCAAGGAGACTCTCAGAAAGAGTCTTAGTGTTCACTCATGTAGAGAATTTTGATGATTAAAGAGATGTGGTTTGGTAGTGAGAACTCCTTTCTTCTATAATTCAGTATTTATGAAGTCTTTTTGGCTTTGTTTTTAATTCTCAGAGTGTGGACGTTGTCCACAATAATTTGGTAGAGTCGTAACTCACTTTGGGGCAAAACTGAGCTTAAAACATTGGAGATGTACTGCAGGTCATGAACTGAGTGCGCTAACAGTGAACGGTCGTGAGGGTTTGCTTGCCTCCTTTCCTCCTCGCTCCACTACCCGGGGATAAGCTGGGTAAGTACCACACCTGAGTTGCATGTGTCTTACAAAGACTGTGCCTTTTTGGGGTCGATACGATAAACTGAGCCTTTCAGCCAATCAGTGTAGCCCTGTATTACTTATCCATACGCTGACTTCACAAAATTGGGGGCCCAATATTTGTTCCTCAACTAGACTAACTTCCTGTGAGTGTTCCTGAGCCTAAGAGTTCAGAAGAGACCTTTAATCTGGCTCAGTTCATTTAAAACAGCATGGCATCCATTATCTATAACTTGGAATTAGGGTGCCAAAGATGACCCAAACAGCTTGCTTTCCTGACTTATCCTAGAACCATTACGTCTCATATAACTCGGGAAAAAACCTGAGAGACTATATCCTAATGAGCTGGAATCATAGGAGGACTAGAGGAGAAAGACAGAACCCTTACAGATATGCGGGGAAGATTTCACAACCTTGGAAGAACAAAAGGCTTTGGCCGCATCACAACTGCCATCAAAGAGAGATGAGCAGAACCTCTGTGGTCCCCGAGGGAGAGGAACTGGTGGCAGGTTCCAGAAAGGTGCTCTGCCCACTTTTTTATCTTGTTCTCTGACTACAGAATAATCTCCTTACTCATGAGTATCTCCGTACAAATATCTTTTCATCAGTTGTGTACAGCAATAACATCTGTCTCTTGGCATGGTTTAAGCCATTTTAATCAAAGCATTCTTCTCACACTTAACTGACACCAGATCTTAACATCCTGTCTAAATCTTTCTGATTGTTGGACATGCCACACACTTCGTTTAGTAAGCCAATATGTTGACTAAGTTCCATGAGACTGTGTGTGTGTGTGTGTGTGTGTGTGTGTGTGTTGCATGTTTCCACCGATGTTCAGGCTCTAAATACTGGAGTAGGGACATCTGAACTGCAGGGGATCATTGTAAATGACAGCAGAATAGGAGGTCCCAGATCTTGTCTTCCCACAGAAACACTGATTGAACCACCAGCCATGGATGGAAAGACCTTTCTGAGAGCTCTGGAGTCCCATGGAGAGATGGCAGCATGCTACTGTTGTACAAAATCTGACAAAAGCCATATGGAAAAGGGTAGGAAGACTTCCACTTTACCTGTCACTTGTCACCCCCTGCTCCAGGATGGCAGAGCTCAGCACGGAGAGAGACGCGCTCAGCCTGCAATTTCTCTCACAGGGGAAAGAGAGAGTGTGGTGAGCGACAGCTTCCCCTTGCTGTGGGGGCACTGCCTGGGAGGCCCATTTCTGCCTCAATTCACCCAGATGCTGAGGGGATCCGCACATCATCTGGGGGCGGATGAGAATTAAGAGAAGTTGCAGGACTCACAGCTGCCAACACAGGGATCTCAACGACCAGTCTGCAACCCCCCACTATTCAGGCCCTTCATGAACCCCGGCAGCCAGCCTGAGAGCTTGCCGATGATCCCGTGTGCCCCCTCCCCCGGGCTCCCCCATCACACCAGAGCTCAGCAGCTGGTTGGACGGTGTGGCCTTGGTAAAAGGTGCCCGAACTCTGAAGACTCGCCTTCAGGAGGGAGGGAGAGTAGTGGAGCTTATGCCCGTCTTGTGTAAGTGTAAGCACACTGCCCTAGAGAAAGAACGGGGTGGGTGATTCTCAGTACCTGGTGCTGGCTCGAGAATAGTCTTTGGCTCCACACTGCCCTTCAGGCCCACTGGGGCACAGGAGGTCCCAACTTCCAGATCCACTAGGGCAGGGTTTGGGCTTCCAAGGCTGCAAGCAACCTTGCCCCAACATCTTTGGGTGTCCCCACCATTATGCCTCTGGGGGACATGGCCCACGTCAGGGTTCTCATGCATTGGTGTCGTACACCTGGAGCCCTCCCGGGCTATAATGCACACTACTTGCTCTCCTGGAGTCTGGAGTCTTGGGGGTCACCGTGCCCCCATGGCTCCACTAGGCAATGCCCTAATGGGGGCTCTCTGTGGTTGGCCCCACAGCCGCAGTAATTCTCTGCCTGGGGCCCACGGCTCTCCAGGGCGTCTCTGAAATCTGGGGGGAGGCAGCCATGCCCCCACAGCTTCGCTCGGCAGAGCTCACAGCACACTGATGCCTGCTGGAGCTGCAGCAGGGACAGAGCCTGCAGTGTGAGGCGGCACCAGGCAGCAGATGGCTCCTCCTACGAAATCATTCCACTCCGGGGTGCTGATGGGAGGCACAGCCACTGTGATCTCTGAAATGCCTTCAGGAGTCATTTTTCCACTGGACAATGGGCCCTGCCATCTGCGGAGATGTTGACTAATCACCCACTGTCTTGATGAAGAGCTCCCAGTTTTTTGTCGAGGTGGCCCATCCACCCTCATCTCCTGCTCTGATTTGGCCACAACCTTTGTGTTCTCTCCCAAACAGGCTTTCTCCTTCCTTTCAACAGGGAGGCTGAGCGTTTCTAAATTTTTAGGTTGCGCTTCCTCTCTGGTTAACAATTCTGTCTTTAAGTCATTTCTCTCCTTTTGCATTTCACATAAGCAGTGGAGAGAAACCAGGCCACCCCTGCAACACTTTGCTTAGGTATTTCCTCAGCCGGATGTCCAGTTTCATGGCTCCCAAGTGTTGCCCTCTGCCGAACCCTGGGACAAGAACACAACTCCGCCACATTCTTTGTCACTTTTTGTAACAAGGATGGAAATTTCCTTCTTTCTCCAACAACGTGTTTCTCATTTCCCGCTGAGACCTCAAAGAATGGCCTTTGCGGTCTGTTTCTACTAGCATTCTGTTCAGGGTTACTTGGTATTCTCTAAGAAGACGGAGGTTTTCTCCACACTTCTCTTTTTTTCTGAGCTTCCATCTGCAACACCTTTAAAGGTCCTGTTCGCGGCAGTGTGGGCTTTCTCAAAACTCCTCCGGCCTGGGACCAGTTCCAAAGCCAGCTGCACATTTTCAGCTGTTGGTCCCGGTAGCATCTCCATGTCTTGATGTCTATTTTCTGTCCTGGTCTGCTTGGGTTGCTATGACAAAATACCATTGACTGGGTGGCTTCTAGATAACAGAAATGTATTTCTCACAGTTCAGGAGACAGAAACCCAAGACGGATTTGCCAGCGTGGTCGAGCTCTGGTGTGAGCGCCCCTCTAGAGTGCAGATTGTCTATGTCTCGCTGGATCCTGACATGATGGAAGGGGCAAGCACACTCTCTAGGGACTCTTGTAATGGCATTAATCTTTGTAAGAGTTCCTGCCTCATGATCGAATTGCCCCCCCCGCCAAGGTCCTATGTCCTAATACCATCCCTTGGGTGGGGGGGCAGGATTTCAACATGTGGATTTGGGGGGGGGGCACAAACATTCAGACAATAGCAGTATCACTGTCACATTTCAACCGATTGATTCCTGTAGGTCTACCTCTGTGCTCTGTGCTGCCCCACTGATCTACGTCTGTCCTTCCTTCGAAGGTACCGTCTCAATACTACACATTTATAGTACATTTTAAAAATAGACAGCCTAAGTCTTCCAATATTCTTTCTTTGCCATATATTGTATACCTTTGCATTTCAGTAAAAAATCTGTATAATTAGCTCCTCAATTTCCAAAAAGACATAAAATTGTGCTGGGATTTTGGTTGGCATTATATTGGATATACAGATCAATGTGGGGAGAATTGAGATCTGGGCTGTAACCAGTCTTCTCTTCTGTGACCACTGTATGTCCCACCATTCATTTAGGTCTTCTATAATTCCTTACTTTAGTGTTTAGTTTTCAGGAAAAAATTTCGCATGTGTATCGTTAGATTTAGCCCTAATTATTTCATGTTTTTTGAAACTATTGTAAATTATGGAGGGTTTTTTTTTTTCCAGTTTTCAGTTGTCCATTGCTTGCATAGGTAAACACAATTGACT